TGAAGAGGATGCTTGGAGGGTTAATTCCAACATCGTTGATGACTCTTGGGTTTACACTGGTCCTTCTCCTCCTCCTCCTCCTCCTCCTCCTCCTCCTCCTCCTCCTCCTCCTCCTCCCTGCTCGGCCGCCCCCCCTGCAGGACGAGGTCTGGGTGAACCCCAGGCTCGCGGGGCGGCAACCGCGCGCCCGCACCGATCCCGGCAGGGGCCGGCCCCCCGGGGCCCAGGATCGCGTGCGCAGGCTTACGTCGGGCGCGTCCTTCCAGGCCTCCCAGATGGGGTCGGAGGAGGAGGAGGAGGAGGAGGAGGAGGAGGAGGAGGGAGGAGGAGGAGGAGGAGGTGAAGGAGGAGGAGGAGGGGAGGAGAGCGGGGTCAGTGCAGACGTCTGGGCCTCCCAGATGGGGTCGGAGTAGATGGGGTCGGAGGATCGCGCGCGCATCGCCGATGCATCGCCGATGCGGCTCGATGTGGAGCCCGATTTGCTTCACGTCGACGTCGCCGATACATCGCCCCGCGTCGACGATGCATCGCAGGTGCTTCGCCGATGCATCGGCGATGCATCGCCGATGTATCGGCGATGCGGTCGACCCTCCGACCCCATCTGCTCCGACCCCATCTAGGCCCCTAGTCCCTCTACAGGAGGAATATTCAAAAATAGTCAAAACATGGTCTGGCGACGGTTTTCTTAAACCATTTCTGACCATTTGGGGGGCACTCCAGATTTCGTAATAAAAGGGAGGGGGTCTCAACCCTCCCAGACGAGAAGTTTCAGACCCCCCCCCCCGTGGGAGAACCCTCCAAAGCATCGTCCCCAGACCCCCCAGGCCCTCCAAGATAGCCTGGAAGAGACCCCCCCCCGAAATGAAACCCCCCTCCCTTTATTACGAAATCTGGAGTACATTTCTCGTCCAAAATCCGCCTGCAGGGGGACGTGCCCGACCTCAGCGCAGGCGCCTCTGCAGGCCACAGGCCCGGCAGAGGCGCGCTGCGCCGGCCCTGAGCTGCTCCCCAGCCCTCCGCGAACCTGCAGAGCATCGGTGGCGAGCTCCCCCATCATTTTTCTCCTCCTCTTCCTCCTCCTCCTCCTCCTCCTCCTCTCCTCCTCCCCCTCCTCCTCCTCTCCTCCTCCTCCTCCTCCTCCTCATCCCCTCCTCCTCCTCCTCCTCCTCCTCCTCCTCCTCCTCCTCCTCCTCCTCCTCCTCCTCCCTCCAAGGTCGGCGGCACCAGCCGTAAGGCCCCAGCAATCGGGGGGCAGCCGGGGGCCGGGCAGGCCTGCCTTCGGTGGCGAGCGAGGGGGGGGAAGTGAGAGGGAGAGGGCCTTTTCTGTTGCATCTTCGGGGGAGCTCGCCTGTCCCCAATATTTGTGTCTTTTGGGGGGCCCGACGCGGGCTCGATGCGGACTCGACGCGGATTTGGCGTGGATTCGACGCGGATTCGACACGGATTCGACACGGATCCGACGCGTCCGACATGGATGCGACACGGATTCGACGCGGACAGGGCCGCGACGGGACAGACAAGGTCCCCCTGAGGATGCAACATAAGGCCTTCTCAGAAGGCGGCGGGACTTCTCAGAAGCCCTCGCGCCTGCTGAGAGAAGTTGTTTCTGTCTTCCTGGAAGGCTTGGAGTCGGGGGTGGGCAGAACCCCCACCCTGACACGTCGACTGGTGAATTGTCCGTTTTCGGTTCTCGAGACGGCGCCGCGGCCGTCATTTTCCAGGGCTGCGCCCGCCAGGTTTGGGCCCGAGGTGTAAACCACGTTCTACTACAGGGGTTCTGCCCATGCCCGATAGAAAACTTCTCAGAATTACCGGGCGAAGAACGGTATAAAATAAACTTTTTCGCTGTCGGGGGCGCCTGTCCCAGGGCGGCTGGAAAGTTTATACCCTTGCGTGTCACCGTAGGGGTATGAACTTTCCAGCCGCCCAGGGACAGGCGCCCCCGACAGCGAAAAAGTTTATTTTATACCGTTCTTCGCTCGCTGACAGAAGGCCGGGGGACTTCCGAGCCTTCTGAGTTGGCCTTCTCCTTCTCACTCCCCCCCCATCGCTCGCCGCCGAGGGCAGGCCGTCCCGGCCCCCAGCTGCCCCCCGATTGCTCGGGAGCGGAAAAGAGGGGGGTGAGGACTAGGGGGGGTGGATATCATGGCGCGGGCCATGATTTTTCCCCAGATCTCATGGCGCTTCTTCTTGTTTTATTACGTCCCTGGCCCCCCCGCTGGGCCGCGCACATGCCGCCCGTCATGATTTGCACCCCCCGCTCTTGGACACCCCCCTCTTGGCCGCCCCCGAGATTGCTGGGGCCTCACGGCTGGTGCCGCCGACCCCGGAGGACGACCCTCCTGCGGGAAGAGGGAGGCAGACATGATTCGGGGGCGGAAAAGAGGGGGGTGATGACTAGGGGGGGGGGATATCATGGCGCGGGCCATGATTTTTCCCAAGATCTCGTGGCGCCTCTTCTTGTTTCATTACGTCCCAGGCCCCCCCGCTGGGCCGCGCACATGCCGCCGGTCATGATTTGCACCCCCGTCCTCTTGGACACCCCCCTCTTTGCCGCTCCCGAGATTGCTGGGGCCTCACGGCTGGTGCCGCCGGCCCTGGAGGACGACCTTCGTGCGGGAAGAGGGAGGCAGACATGATGGGGGAGGTCGGACTGAGACGCTCTCAGAAGTTTTCTGGAGCAGCATCGTTTTGCCTTGAGGTGTGCCCTCAGAAGACTACAGAAGCCTTGGCAGACAGGTCTTGACGTTCTTCCACGCCTCAAGCTGCGACCGTCGTGGGCTCGATTGGGGTCATATTGGCCTTCTTGGAGGCCATCTTCGCAGTCTTGGAGTCCATCTTGGGCCATTTTGGAGCGGGAAAGGCATTGCCCCGAGATTTTGAGGAGCTTTCCAGGTGGCCAGCGGGATGGACCGACGCCCCAGGTGGCGTTCTCTAGAAGAGAACGCACAACCACCAGACGTTCAGCACGCCAGGCACCCCTGTGGCAAGCCACAGGGGGCGGCAGCTCGAAGACGCATACGGCGAATCACCGCCGCCTTTTTGGAAGCGCCTACGTTGCCGACAGTTGGGCTAGAGCTTGGCCAATTTATCTGACCGTGTCTTTCCCTAGCTGTCGTTGAAACCCTCACGAGCTCCTGGGGCACTGTTGGGGTCTCCTGGGAGCTTCCTGGGAGCCTCTTGGAAGCCTCTTGGGGGTCTCCTTCGGCCTCTTGCGGGCCTTGGGGGCTTGTTCGGGGCCTCTTTGGCAATCGCAGGGCGTTCCTAGGCTGTCTGACGCCGTCGGGAGCCGTGTTGGGGGCCTCTCTGGACCGTCTTGGGGCCCTCGAGGGGCGCTTCAGGGCCGTCTTGGAGGCCAATTTGACTGTTATGGAGGCCTCTTGGACCGCCCTGGGTCCATCTTTGGGGCCTCTTGTGCGTTCTGGGGGCGATCTTGGAGGCCTCTTGGGCCGTCGTAGACTTGCGGGAGGCTGAAAAGAAGCAGCTGTCAACATCTGTCAACTCTATGGAGTCTGAATGAGTTTGGCCTCTTCGGGCGTTCCTGGGGGCCTCTTGGAGGCCTCTTGGGAGCCTCTTGGGCTAGCTTGATGGCATCTCGGGTGCCATCTCGGTTGTCTTGGAGGCATCTTGAGCCCAACTTGGGCCATCCTGGCAGTCTTGGATTGGGCAGCTTTCCGGGTGGCTGGCGGCATCGGCCGACGCCCCAGGGGGGTCCTTCTAGAAACCAGAACCATCTGAGTTCAGCACGACAGACACCCCTGTGACAAGACAGTGGGGGGCGGCGGATGACCGAAACCGCACGTAGAGTCGCGATCCGTTTGATGTTTGACATAACAGGGGGGGGGTGAGGGGATTGGCAGGTCTCGTCCCAGATCGAATCGCCCCAATTTGAAGCCATGTTCGGCCCCAGGCGGCCAAAGTCAGCCCCAAGTGCGTCCGAGACGGCCAAAGTCAGCCCACGTGCGCCCTGGAGCTCCCTATGAGTGCACGAGACATTGTACTGGGTGGGGGAGACTCAGGAGGAACAGAAACACACAGACACAGTTAATCTTCGATCCCCCAGAAAATATGGGAAAGTATGGGAAGCGGGGGGGAAGGCAGAGACCCCGAAACCATGAAACAATAGGGGGCATAGTTTTATTCGTGTGCATTTCATTGTGTGTCCTCGGGCCCCTGCAGAGACGCATGTGGGCTGCGCCACTGGGACCGTCGGCGGATCATCCTCTGAGGCCATGAAGCGCTGCACTGGGTGGGGAGGCGCATGCGGGCTGCGCCACTGGGACCCCTGGGGGTGGCGCTCCCCAGGAGGGCACGAGACACTGTAATTACTGGGTGGGGGAGACGCATGCGCGCTGCGCCACGAGGAGGAGGAGGAGGAGGAGAAGGAGGAGGAGGAGGAGGAGGGGGAGGAGGAGGAGGGAGGGATGTTTTCCCATCGCGCAGCTCGAGGCGCGCCGCGCGCCCCGAGCTGCTCCTTGCGGCCCGCGGCGGGCACCGAGGCCCTCTCTTGGCCCGGCGCCGGAGGGCGGCAAGCGGCCCCCGCCCCGGGCGGGCGGCCCGAGACAGGCTCGCAGGACGCCTGCGCGCGAAAGTGCTCAGAGAGCGCCTCATCATCATCATCATCATCATCATCATCATCATCATCATCATCATCATCATCATCATCATCATCATCATCATCATCATCATCATCATCATCATCATCATCATCATCATCATCATCATCATCATCATCATCATCATCATCATCATCATCATCATCATCTTCATCTTCATCTTCATCTTCATCTTCATCTTCATCTTCATCTTCAACTTCATCATCATCATCATCACCATTAAGAGAGAGAGAGAGAGAGAGAGAGAGAGAGAGAGAAAATAAACAAAAAAAAAACAACAACGAGAGAGAGAGAGAGAGACGAGCCTCACGCACAGGCGCCCGCTCAGGAGGGCGGCTTCCGCTTTTGGCTCACCCCCCTCGTGATCGTGTCGGCCTTGTCCGTAGACGTGTTGGCTCAAGTCACTGAGTCACAATTTTGGCGAAGCACCCTGTGCTACGCGTCAGGATCCCCCCACCTCTAGGCCGGCAGGGATGGCGAGCCTCGCGGGCGACGATCTTCCCTACCAGCATCGGCCAAGGCCAGCGTTGGCGTGGGCGGAGGCAGCCAGCGCGGCGCCCGCACCGAGGCAGCCCTCGACTCCCAGGATGGCCCGCGGGCGCCCCCGCAGCGTCGCCCACGGGGGGGCCATGCCAGGCCCCAGCGTCCTCGGCCCCGACGGGATCCGCAGGATCCGCAGGCCCTGCGGGCTCCGGCTTCCTGAGACTGCGGCCTCTTGGCCCCCCTCAGAGACCTGTCCGAGATGAGGAGGCTCGTCACGGGCCGAGAGACCTGCCCCGAGCCTCGCCCGGTCAACGGGACGTCGGTCCGGCGCGTCGCCCAGGCCTTCACGGTCCCCATGCTGCCCGGAGTGGAGCCGGCCAGTGGCGCAGCCACGAGCGACCAGTCGAGCGACACAGAGTCGGAGAGCATCTCCCGCAGGCCAACCGGCCCCGACGAGCGCCAGAGGGTCCCGTGCTGCGCGGGCCCGAGCCAGTGCGGCGGCGAGTCGGCCGGGCCCACGCGCGCGGGACGTCAGCATCGAGGCTCGCCCCTCTCGACGCTGTCAGCAGCGACGACCACCACATCTCTTCCCCCTTCCGAGGAGGCGCCCTCCCAGGCCCGCCCCCGCCGCGCGGGGAGGTCGCTGTCGGCGAGGGGAGGCAGGCGCCCGCGCTCCGCGATCGGCTGAGCCTCGGTTTCCTGGGCAGCTGGGGCGGCGCGCGGAGAGGCCGCGAGCCGCGCCGCAGGCTGCTGGCTGCGGGGGCAGTGCGCGCTGGCATCAAGAGTTCTCGCCCGCCGCGGCTGCGGCCCGCGTGCCAGCGGTGGGCAGCGGGGGCAGCGGGGGGCGAGGGGGCGCGCAGCACGCAGCTCGCAGAATCTTCTCCAGGAGCTTCCCGCAAATGGCATCGGCAGGGTTCCGAGAGGCCCCGGCCTGGACGGCAGGGGCGTGCCACTCGTAGACTTCACGCGCAGCTCGCAGCTCGCAGCTCGCAGAATCTTCTCCAGGAGCTTCCGGCAAATGGCATCGGCAGGGCAGTGGGGAGCGTGCTGGACGGTTCTGCTTCGGAGAGGCCCCGGCCTGGACGGCAGGGGCGTCCCACTCGTAGGCTTCACGCGCAGCTCGCAGCTCGCAGCTCGCATAATCTTCTCCAGGAGTTTATCGCAAAGTGCACCAGGGCTGTGGGGAGCGTGCTGGACGGTTCTGCTTCCGAGAGGCCCCGGCCTGGACGGCAGGGGCGCCCCACTCGTAGACTTCACGCGCAGCTCGCAGCTCGCAGCTCGCAGCTCGCAGAATCTTCTCCACGAGTTTATATCGCAAAGTGCACCAGGGCTGGGCCTGGACGGCGGGCGGATGTCCTCAAAAGGTCCACTTGAGAGGGTGGCCCTGACGATTCTTTGACCACTTCAGCAGACTGGTACAGTCGGACCGAGGTGTAAGATCGCGGTCGGTTCAGGGAGGGTACCCTAATGTTCTTCGGGTTTGTTGGATGTTCTCGCGCATTTGTGGGGAGGATACCTAAGGGTGTTCTATGTGTTTCGGCCGGCGGAAGGTCTCATGTTCTTGATGGATGTTCTTCTGGCCTAGGTCCGACTGTAGTCTGAGCACTCAACGGCCATGGGCCACGGAGACAGCAGCGATCGGGACAGGACGGAAGGCAGGGAGTGCGGGAGCATGGCGGAACGAGAGGGACAAGGATGGCGTGAGCACAGTAGAGCTGAAATCTCCTACAGAGCAGTTCGAGGATCAGAGACGTAATCGAACTTTGTGGGATAGGCCCGGCCATGCCCGCCCTGTATCCAGCGGTGCCCATTCGCGGTTCTTCCTCTTATGTTTTTTCTTCTTCTTCTTCTTCATCCTAATCTTCCTCGTTGTTTTCTTCCGTACTATTCCGGAGTGGCGACTCACGCGCAGCTCTAATATTGTAGTGGCCTTCGGCCAGTGCCGCCGATCCGGGGCGCTCCGACTGATGTGATCCTTCTTCGCCCTCGTCCCTCCTCTCTTTTTCCCTCCCCTCCTCTCACTCAGCATTTATCCAGTGGCCGTCGGCCTATCCCGCCACCGTGCGTGGGTGGTGGGTCAGAGGCCTCATGGATGCTGGTTGGGATCTCGTGGTTGGCTGGGACTTCTGGGGGCCTCTTGGGCGCCTCTTGGGGCTTCTTGGGGGCCTCTTGGGCCTCTTGGGGCCACTAGAGGGCCTCTTGGGGGTCTCTTGGGAGCCTCTTGCGGCTTCTTGGGGGCCTCTTCTGCGCCCCTTGGGGCCTCTTGGAGGCCTCCTCGGAGCCTCTTGGTGCGGGAGGAGTGGTACTCGGGTTCGGAACCCCCTCGGAGGCCACGATCCTTGTGAGGGGTGTCAAAAAACGCATCCGCCGGAAACTCGCACCCCCCCCCCCACCCCCCCTTCCCCGGCAGAGCCACCCCGGCAACCCCCCCAGAGGCTGAGGCTCAGCCTCGAGGCTGTAGCTGAGACTCCTTGAAACTCACACGCCGGATCGGCGGATTATCCAGGAGTTTCCCGAAAAGTGCATCGGGGCTGTGAGGAGCGTGCTGGACAGTTCTGCTTCCAAGAGGCCCCCGCCTTGATGGCTGGCGGATTTCCTCAAACGGAGTTTTCCCGGAGAGGACCTGGTGAATTTCACCGTTTAATTCGGTCCGTTTTCTTCTTTCCCGCTCGCGGTTCGTTTCTTTCTTCTTCCTCTTCTTCTCCTTCTTCTTCTTCTTCTTCTTCTTCTTCCCTTCTGGGGTAGAGCGAGTCGCAAGGCGTCTCGCCCCTGTTTGTGCTTGATGCACCTCCCCAGAGTCCGGTCTTATAGTTTTTCGGCACTGCCAGGGTGGTCTGCACCAAGAGAGAGTACGCTCATTCTTGCTGATCCTCCACCTCTGGCATGTTTGCGCCGAGCAGGTCCGAATTACATTCCAAGCATGCCGCGCTCTTCTCTAGTGACCAGAAAAAGCACTCCTGATCAATCGCATGATCATGTCAGCCTTGCGCCACCTGCCCCCCCCTCAGCCTCCTCGGTCTTGGCCTACTCGCAGGCCGCCACGAGGCCGCGGCTCTCACGCTCGCTCGCCGTGGCGTGCTGGCCGCGCCGCAAGCGCACCCTGTGCCCGCAGGACGTGCGCAGCTGGTGGCCCCCTATCGCCGCCAGCGTCCAGCGAGCCAGACCCGCTGGGGACCTCTCCGTCGTCTTCTTCCTCCTCCTCCTCCGCCTCCTCCTCCGCCTCCTCCTCCTCCTCCTTCCTCCTCCTCCTCCTCCTCCTCCTCCTCCTCCTGCCTTCTTCTCCCGCTCACGTGCCTCCGCTTGGGGCGCTGGGGCCAGTGCTACCCGGCCATGACCACCGCCGGGCTGTCTCTGCAGCTGTCCCTGCATCGCCCTGCTCCCTCACAGGGGCTTGGGATCTGGCAGTTCCGCTGCCAGACCCGCCCTACCGTGCACACCGCGTGGCAGCCTCGGACCAGCGTTGGACACGCACGCCTCCTCGGCAGCCTGGCTCCCGTCGCCCTCGCGACGGCCCGCGGGCAGCGCGCCAGAGCGCGGGCGTCGCCCTCGTGGTCGCCGTGCACCTCTGTCTGCAGCTCGTCTCCGATCGCCTTCGCAGCCGCCACCGCCACGGCCAGTAGGCCCCTAAGGACTTCATTCAGAGCCCCGAATCATCAGGGGTAACTCGGGTCAGGGATAACTCGGGTTCGTTTTTCGGGAATCCAAACCCGAGTTACCCCGGACCCGAGTTACCCCGGATAACTCGGGCGCCCAATTCATGCTTACTGGGCGGGTCACGCACGCGTTGGGGTGATTCGATTGGCCCGCGCCGCGTCCGCTGGCCCCCTTCCGTATCCCCTCGCCCCGAGGGCCCCCAGGCACGGGCGAGGGCTTCGGAGTCGGGGAAGTTCGGCTTGGCCTGCGTGCCGCGGAGCCGATGCCGCGGGCCTCCTCGTGGCTCCACCGGCGTGCGCATCTCGGGAGCGAGGGGCCCTCGCCGCGCACGGCTTTTCGAGGAGGGCCCGCGGGCGCGATGTCCGAGCCGAGCCCCCTTGGCGCTCCTGGGGACGTCTGGGCAGGGCCGCGGAGGGCGCACGATTACACCGTGCCATAGCACAGGGCGGCCCCAATCCGGGGGAGAAAAAGATGCGGATACGTGTTGTCCCCCTTCGTTTTCGGCTTCTCCTGGTCCTCCTGGGGAATCCTCGTTGTCACCGCTGGATTCGCCTCGAAATTCTGGTCAGAACGCACCCCAAGAGAGGTCCGGGGACAACACGTATCCGTATCTTTCCGCCCCCCAACCAATCTGGCACAGTCGTGGTGAACGATGTGCGCGGCGCAGTGTCTTTCCCAACCACCCTGTGGTGCTGAGTCCTCGTTTTGAACAGACGGCGCCCCGCCTCCTCCTCCTCCTCCTCCACCTCCGCCTCCTCCTCATCCTCCCGCCTCCTTCCTCCTCCCCCTCCTCCCTCCTCCCCCTCCTCCTTCATCCCTGCGTTTCACCCACCCAGTACAGCGCTTCGTGGCCCCATAGGGAGCTCCACCGAAGGTCCCAGTGGCACCGCCCGCATGCGTCAACCACCACCCAGCACAGCGCGTCGTGGCCCCATAGGGGGCTCCATTGAAGGCCCCAGTGGGAGTGCCCGCATGCGCCAACACCACCCAGGACAGCGCTTCGTGGCCCCATAGGGGCTCCCCCGAAGTCCCCAGTGGGACCGCCCGCATGCGTCAACGCCACCCAGGACAGCGTTTCGTGGCTCATAGGGAGCTCCACCGAAGGCCCCAGTGGTACCGCCCGCACGCGTCAACGCCACCCAGGACTGCGCTTCGTGGCCCCATGGGGAGCTCCCCCGAAGGCCCCAGTGGCACCGCCCGCATGCGTCAACGCCACCCATGACAGCGTTTCGCGGCCCCATGAGAGGCTCCATTCAAGGCCCCAGACCGCCCGCATGCGGCAACGCCACCCAGGACAGCGTTTCGTGGCCCCATAAGGGGCTCCATTGAAGGCCTCAGTGGCACCGCCCGCATGCGTCAACGCCACCCAGGACAGCGTTTCGTGGCCCCATAGGGAGCTCCACCGAAGGCCCCAGTGGGACCGCCCGTATGCGTGGACGCCACCCAGGACAGCGCTTCGTAGCCCCATAGGGAGCTCCACCGAAGGTCCCAGTGGCAGGGTCCGCATGCGTCAACGCCACTCCGCATGCGTCACGCCACCCAGGACAGCGTTTCGTGGCCCCATCTCACCGGGGCCGTCGGTGGAGCTCCCTATGTGGCCACGGAACGTTTGATGGGTGTGCCGCAATGGGGCGGGGAGACGCTTGTGGATCTTCCCACTGGGGTCTTCGGTGGAGCTCCCTATGGGGCCACAAAGCGTGTGAGGGGTGTGCCGAAATGAAGCGGGGAGACGCATGTGGGCACTCCCACTGGGGCCTTCGGTGGAATCCCCTATGAGGGCCACTGTGTGAGGGGTGTGCCGACATTGGGCGGGGAGGGAGATTGATGTGGATCCTCTGACTGTTGCCTTCGGTGTAGCTCCCTATGGGGTCACAGAACGTGCGAGTGATATGCCGAAGTGAGGCGGGCAGACGCACGTGGACCTTCCCACTGTGGCCTGTGGTGGAGCTCCCTGTGTGGTCCCGGAACGTGCGAGGGCCGTGCCGAAATGGGGTGGGGAGACGCATGTGGACCTTCCCACTACGGCCTTCGGTGGAGCTCCCTATGGGGCCACAAAACGTGCGAGGGGTGTGCCGAGATGAGGCGGAGAGGCGCATGTGGACCCTGCCACCCGGGACTTCGGTGGAGCTCCCCGCGGGGCCACGAAACGTGTGGGGGGATTGATGTGGACATTGCCATGGGGGACCTCGGTGGAGCTATCCATGGGGCCACGAAACGTGAGATGTGCCGACATGGTTGGGGGAGACGCACGTGGACCCTCCCACTGCGGCCTGCGGTTGTTCTCCCCGATGGAAGCGCGAAGCGTGAGGGGTGTGTCGATAAGGGGGCGGGGAGGCGCATGTGGCCCTCCCACTGGGGCCGTCGGTGGAGCTCCCCGTGGGGTCACGAAGCGTGTGAGGGGTTCGCCGAACTGGAGCGGGGAGACGCATGTGTACGCTCCTACTGGGGCCTTCGGTGGAGCTCCCTGTGGGTGCACGAAGCGTGTGAGGGGTGTGCCGGAATTCGGCGGGGAAGCTCTGTGGACCCTGCCACTCCGGCCTCCGGAGGAGCTCCTTCTGAGGCCACCAGACGTGTGCGGTGTGCACCCAGCTGGTAGACTGATGCTGAGAGACGAAGGAGTTAAGAGGGGATGAGGGGCAGGAGGTGAGGAGTGGAGCGAAGGATTGCAAAAAAACCAAAGGATTGCAAAACAAGGATTGCAAAAAAAACCGTTTTTTGCAATCCTAGGTTTTTTTGCAATCCTTCGTTCGAGACGCGGGGACTGTTTCTTCAGAGCGAGGACCCACCACCACAGGATGGCGGGGGAAGAGCACACAAGCGGAGGCTTCTCCCCGGTGTCTGCTTCTGTGGGGACCCTCGCCGGGCCCAGGGACCGCCCCTCCTCCTCCTCCTCCTCCTCCTCCTCCTCCTCCTCCTCCTCCTCCTCCTCCTCCTCCTCCTCCTCCTCCTCCTCCTCCTCCTCCTCCTCCCTCTTTCTCCTCCTCCTCCTCCTCCTCCTCCTCCTCCTCCTTGGGCGAAGTACCCAACCATATGCAGTTGTGTGAGCAACGCCGTGGTGGGTGCCGCTCTCGGTGCTGCTCCTCCTTCTTCTTCTGCGGGGCCACGGCACGCGGGGGGCGTGCCGTAAAAGTTGGGCGGGGAGGAGGCGCGTAAGTGCGTGCCCTGCCGCCGGGGGCTTCGGTGGCGAGCTGCCTGTGGGGCCACGGAGCGTGTGAGGGGTGTGCCGAAATGTGATCGTGTTTTATTATTTGTTTTGCCGATCGGCGCGGGCCCTCGCACCCCCCCATCCCCCCCCCCCTGGAGCGGATCTTGGCTGTTTTGGGCGCCTGTTTCGAGCAGGTGGGGTCCCTCCCCCATCGGACGCACTGTCGCAAAGAGCCGCACTACGTAGAGGGCCAGAGCCAGACTCCCCCCCCCTCTCCTCCTTTCCGCCCAATGTCGAAACGCCGAACAAAAAAAGCTCACAATGGGCGGGGGGGACGCAGGGCCCATCTCGACTCCTCCGATTTGATCCGATTCGAGTTCGATGGCTCCCGATTCAGATGCGATCCGATTTCGGAGTTTTCGATTGCGAAGGCCTTACGGCCGGTGCCGCCGACCCTGAAGACGAAGCTGTCTGTGACGCCGTGAAGGCCGAAACGTCGTATATGCTAGAAATGTAAGTTTCCGATGGAAAAGTAATGAGTGTGGCCTCTTGGGCCCTTCTTGGGGGTGCTCTTGGATGGGGGCCTGGGACGTCTTGGAGGCTTCTTGGACGGTCTTGGGGCTATCTTGGGCGTTTTCGGCCGATCTTTGGGCGACTCGGGGCACTCTTGGGCCGTCTCGGGGGCCATCTTGGGCATTCGGACCTCATTTGGAGTGTTTTCGAGGTTTCGAGGCCGCCCGAGGAAAAACGAATCTGCTCCCCCCCCCGCCCCTCCACCTCCCCCGGGACCCCCCCCCCACCCCTCCCGGGACCCCCCCCCCCCCCCCGCGACCCCCCCCCCCCCTCCTCTGGGGAAGGGATCAAAGGGAAGGGGCTCCCCTTCGAATCGACAACGGCATGACGGCAGGAGGGTACGGCCCCCCCCCAAAAAAAGGGGGAAGGAAGAAGGGGGGGCGGCGAGGAACTAACGAGGAAGCCCCTCGCATACGCCGACAGGGTCGGCGGATTTCACCGCTCGGTGACGCGCGGGGCACTCTTCTGACGGGGCCAGGACGGGGATAAATCCGTTCCAGAGCGTTCTGGAATGCTGTCAGAACGTTCCGGAACGCTCTGAGAAGGCCGCGGCGCCCGAGAGATCCTCTAGAACCGCCGAATCTCAGAGATTCTCGATTTTTCCTCACCCGATTTTACCCTCTCCGTGGCTTCGTCTGCACGCTGTCAGGGCCAGCCAGTCGTCATGACCACGTGTCGTCAGCTCTCGCGCGAGCAGCGAAGACGGAAAAGTGCGCCACTGGAGGACCCTGTAATTGAAAAGGGGGGCGGACCCCCCCGCCCCCCCTTCAAAGGGGGGGGAGATTTTCGACCCCCCCCCTCCCCCTCCCCCCCTTAAGGGGGAGGGAGGGGTTCGAACCCCTCCCCCCCTCTCTTGAAGGGGGGGGTCCGGACCCCCTCCCCTCCTTCTTGGCGCTGGAAAGGGGGGGGGGTCCACCCCCCCCCCCGTCCCCCCTTTTGCGCCGGACAGAGAGCCGGGGAGGGGGCCTCTCCTGCTGCTCCTTCCTGCGCTGGAGAAGGTGGGTAGGGAGTATGGAGTAGGGAATAGTGAGCAGTGAGTAGTGAGTTGTGAGTAGTGAGTAGTGGGTAGTGGGTAGTGAGTAGGGAGTAGTGAGTAGTGAGTAGTAGTGAGTAGTAGTGAGTAGTGCATAGTGAGAAGTGAGTAGTGAGTAGTGAGTAGCGAGTAGTGAATAATGAGTAGTGAGTAGTGAGTATTGACTACGGAGTAGGGAGTAGCGAGTAGTGAGTAGTGAGTAGTGGGTAGTGAGTAGTCGGTGGTGAGTAGGGAGTAGTGAATAGTGGGTAGTGGGTAGTGCGTAGTGAGCAGTGTAGTACGTAGAGCGAGTAGGGAGTAGCAAGTATAGAGTAGTGAGAAGCGAGTAGTGGGCAGTGAGTTGTGAGTAGTGAGTGGAGAGTAGGCAGTAGTGAGCAGTGAGTAGTGAGTACGGACTAGGCGGTAATGAACAGTGAGTAGTGAGTAGTGAGTAGTGAGTAGTGAGTAGTGAGTAGTGAGTAGTGTTTAATGAGATGTGATATGTGGGTAGCGAGTAGTTGGTAGTGACTACTGAGTGGTGGGTAGTGAGTAGTATGTTGTGAGTAGTGATTAGTGAGTGGGGAGGTAGTGATTAGTGAGTGGTGCGTAGGAAGTAGTGAGTTGCGTGTAGCGAGGA